AACTCTCTCATCTACGAGAAACTCCTCATGGTGTAGGTAGGTTCTATAACTGTTTGGGTTTATTTTTTGCATATAGTCACCCTTGAATCCAAAAGTATCTGCCATGAACTTGCCTCCCTCCGGAGACAGCACGTGCATAAGAAACGTGTCTACTGTAGAGAACTGGGTATAATTTCTCTTATTATCAGAAATAAACTTTGCGATTTCTGACAGGCTTTTGTTGTTCGTCGGGGCTCGATGACTTAACGTTGGAAAGGCCTGTGACTTTAGGGAATCAAAACTGTCTGTGTACACACCACGAGCTTCAACACGAGTGGTTTTCCTGGTCCAAAGGTCATTAGTGACTCCCAATGTATTGACAAGCTCACTAAAATGAAGTGAAAATGAGAAAAAAATTGGAGCTAATCATAAGCTATAGATTTTCTAACGTAGTAATTCGAGAAAACTCTGTAAACAAATCAATACATATACAAACTCGGATCGGAGGCGAGTAATTTACAAGTTCAATTTTCTGGAGGGTGTGAGGGATGAGGATTGGCAATAGGGGAATATCGATATCCTGCAAAGGACTACTTTTTAGAAGAGTTTTGTAAGACATAAAATCATGAGATCAAGTTGGTTGAAAATAAGTTTATCATTGGTTCGTGTGCAAAAATTTCAACGAAATCGGTCAGATGAAAAGAATGTGGGAACGAAATAAACAAAATGTGAAATTTTTTTAGAATTGTTGATGACACTTACAATTCTTCATAGTTGCCGCCGTAAATGTTCCACTGTCCAAGGCCTACGAATCAAAAGTAAGTTGAAAATCTACAAAATTATCCACTAGGTAAGTCCATCAGGGTGGCTAAAAATGGTTTCGGTAGGAAACGCTGATTAAACATCGCCTAGGAAAGGGGAGTTAGAGATTTTTTTGGGGATTACATGTCTTTGGGGGGAACTTAAAGGGGTCAATTGTCAGCAATGAAGTATAAAGGATACAGAAATTAACTGAGTGGTCATAAGAAAACTAAAGAGTTTTATGGGGGATCAGGTAAATTTGATTGCGACACAACCAAAATCCTCCGCTCACAACCTTCCCCCCACCCCTAACCCCCCCTAACCGCTCCCAGGAGATGAATCATGACCAGTTCCTCATATTGAACTGCAACTCTTTGTTGGGTCGATACGATAATTTAAAACGAACCTACTGTGACGTTTGGAACTTCAGTGAAACTGAAATCCAAAATTTTTCCTCCAAGATAATCCTCTTCCTCAAAGATACACAAGCTCGTTTCATTTTTGTTGAGAAGAAGGACATAAGCTGTTAATAGACCACCAATACCTATAAATGAAAAGAAATCAATTTAAGAATTCCAGCCAGTAGCTGACGAGAATAGACTTGCCTATCACTGTGTGCTTTCTCACCACCAATTCTCTAAGCTTCCATACGAACAACTGCGACAATCTAAAAGAATCGATTTTTTAAGAGTTAAAAGATTTTATGAGTCCTAGATCTCCTACGGAACTGCAACCGACTAGTAGTGCCCAGTCCTCACCTGCGCCAACTATAGCTGTTCCTCACTCTAAGATTTTTTTATGAGGGGGCGTGATCGGTGCTGCTGTTGTTGGCCCAGCAGTTGATGCTACAGTAGTAGCTGTTGGTATTGCTGTGGTAAGTGTGGTGGTAGCGTTTATTACAGCAGTAGTTTCAATTTGTGCTGTGGTAGTCAAATCAGTTGTTGATGGTTTTTCTGTGGTTGTTGGTTGTCCTGTGGCCTTTGGAGCAGTAGTTGTTGGTAAAGCAGACGTCGTTGGTTTTTCTGTGGTTAACGGTTGTGCTGTGGTCGTGGCAACACTAGTTGTTCGTAAAGCGGAAGTCGTTGGTTTTTTTGTGGTGGATTGTTGTGTTGTGGTTGTTGGAGTAATGGTTTTTGGTAAAGCCGAAGTCGTTGGTTTTTCTTTGCTTGTTGGTTGTGCTGTGGTTGTAAGAACAGTGGTGTTTGGTAAAGGAGAAGTCGTTGGTTGTGCTATAGTTGTTGGAGCTGTAGTTGTCACTTTTTCTGTGGTTGTTGGTTGTCCTGTGGTTATTGGAGCAGTAGCTGTTGCTTTTTCTGTAGTTGTTGGTTGAACTGCGGCTGTTGAAGCAGTGGTTGTTGCTTTTTCTGAAGCTGTTGGTTGAGCTGCTGTTGTAAAAGTAGTGGTTGTTGCCTTTTCTGGGGTTGTTGGCTGTGCCGCGGTTGTTAGAGCGACTGTTGCTACCTTTTCTGTAACTGTTGGTTGTGCTGTGCTTGTTGGGGCAGCGGTCGTTGGTGGGGCACTGGTTGTTGGTCGTTCTGTGGTTGTTGGCCGCTCTGTGGTTGTTGATTGTTCTGGGGTTATTGGTTGTTCTGCGGTTGTTGGTCGTTCTGTTGTTGTTGGTTGTTCTGTGGTTGTTGGTTGTTCTGTGGTTGTTGGTTGTTCCGTGGTTGTTAGTTGTTCCGTGGTTGTTGGTTGTTCTGTGGTTGGTTTTCTTGTGGTTGCTGGCTTTTCTGTAGTTGTTGGTTTTCTTGTGGTTGTTGGTTGAGCTGTAGTTGTTGGTTGTTCCGTTGTTGTTGGTTGTGCTGTGGTTGGTGGAGCGGTAGTTGCTGATTGTTCTGTAGTTGTTGATTGCGATGTGGTTGTTGGTTGTGCAGTGGTTGGTGAAGCAGTAGTTGTTGCTTTATCTGTTGTTGTTGGTTGTGCTGTAGTTGTTGCTTTCTCTGTGGTTGCTGGTTGTTCTGTGGTTGTTGGTTTTTCTGTGGTTGTTGGTTTTTCTGTGGTTGTTGGTTTTTCTGTGGTTGTTGGTTTTTCTGTGGTTGTTGGTTTTTCTTTGGTTGTTGGTTGTGCTGTGGTGGTATCCTGCGTTGTCATAGGATTTGCGGTGGTTTGAGTTTTTGCCTCCGAGGTGGCAGCGACAGTGGTAGTTGTGGGTTTAGCTGTAGTAGAACGCTCATTTCTCACAGTTGTTTCCTGAGGAGCTGTGGGTTCCGGCTCTGTTGGTTTCTTTCTTGTGGTCTCCTCAGTCGGTTTTGTGTTCCCTCCACCTTCTGATGAAGTAATGAAAACACAAAACATTCGTTAAGTTTTTTTTCTTTTTTATAAAGATACTAGAATAAGATCACTTAATCGTGTATTTTCATCGCTAGGATGACAAGAAATAGTACTGATGACAGTAAATATTAAATAACGCAGTATTTGAAGCGTTATGTTGTCGCTGTGTGACATGATTGATACTGCTTTGCGTAAAGAGTTAAGATTCCTCTCAGTGCAACAGATTGCCTCGTAACCGTCAGGCTGGGTTGTTCAGAGCTGGGTAAAAGAATCCAGAGTTAGTGTGAAATCCGATTTCAGATCCGAAGGCCTTGAAAGAAAAGTCAGTACAATTCGTTTTCTCTACATTTTGATGATTGGATGCCCTTCAAAGAATGGAGATCATCATCCGAGAAGGGCTTTTGAACAAAAAGATAAAGAAACCAAAATTAAAAATTTCTCTAGGTTGGCCCTAATCAGCCTTCGAACAATTTGGCTCTCAGAGGTTTTCGTAATTTTGTATAGTTTTTATTGACCAGGTGTGGTTGATGCTTCAGTCGTCATGACAGAGGTTCAAATTTTCGCAGTTGCTGCCTGAAAAGTTGTTAGTCGATGATATTGCGATAATCACGACAAATGAAAGTAACAGGCTGGTGTTACACGTTTTTTCACAATGATTTATTTTGAGTTTTCTCAATGAGAACAATTAAAGGATCTCGCAGCAAACATCCCATTTCCGCAATTACCGTTGATCATCGCAAATAAAGAGTGCTCGGTATAAATAGAACTGTGCCAGCACTCTGACAGACGTGCTTCGCGGGCGACGATCATGTTGACTAAATTGACCGTGTACTCGGCCCGGAAATTAGAAAAAAATAGCCAGCTAAATCCACGTTCAAAATTCCAAAATGAAAATTTTATTTCATTTAAGAGAAAGAGTTTGAAAAAAAAAAAAAAAAAAAAAAAAAAAAAAAAAAAAGGTCTGATTAGCAAGGTTTAGCGCCGCGG